AGCAAGCACATTCCTGCACGGCACACAAAGGCAGCAGGAGAAAGGGAGAGAGAGGGAGAAAAAAACAGAATGAACCCCGTCTCTCTCCCTCTCGCTTTTCTTTTCTCCCAGTGTGATACCAGCCTTTTCTCCGAGTCACCATTTCTTCGGGTCATTCGTCCTCTGCTCAAACTCTCTCCACTCTTTTTTTCTGTGATCAACAATCATACATTAGGATTCAAATGACAGAGTGTCCATGTAAAAAAGAACCAGAAAACTCAGCCTTTTTTCATTTAAATCTGTAATTAAACAGGATTATGATGTGAAATCATACATAGCTATTTAAAGTTTGCAAGTCACTAATCAAACAAGCATTTGTGAACTCATTCATCATATCAGGTTTTGAATCACAAACTTGCCTTTAATTAATTTAAAGCAAATGTTAAATTCATGCTCATTTTCACTCAAACCATATGAAGAGTTCAGATGCAAAAGCCTCTAAATGCCATTTGAAATTTTCTTCTTTAATGATGATTTTTATCAAACTTGTATATTTAAGTTCAGTAATTTCACTTAAATAACAATTAATAGGTAATTATCATTGCCATTTAAGTGAAATCACTGAACTTAAATATACAAGCTTGATAAAAATTATCATTCTAGAAGAAAATTTCAAATGGCACTTCATATATAATTATATAAATATCTTAATTTAGAATTATATGTAACAAATTACTCAATTGTATTAAATTAAATGATACAAAATAGAAGCTTTAGAAATATTTTATTTTCTTTATAAAAATTAAATACACTTTTGCAACAAAAATTATGTTGCAATCAACCTAGAATATTTGTGCATTCCTACTTCATGTATTTTGTATTTCTGTATGTATTTGTATGAATATAGATTATTCATGATCTATATTCACACACTAGTTCTGTCAAAATGATCATGCGCATCTATAAAAAAAAATATATGATATATGCGTGTATATATAATTATAGACAGTGTATATATCTATTTATCTGCCCTATATATATATATATATATATATATATATATATAATATTTATATTTTCAACCCAAATGTTGGATTAAAGATGTAATTTAAAATTTAATTCAACTTTCACTTTCAGCTGTAATTTTTTTAATTGGTTTCTCTATATTTTACCCAAATTTGGGTTGAAATAACCTAGCATTTTTTAGAGTGTATATATATGTGTGTGTATATGTACATTTGTTTAGTGAAGTGTGCTTATGTCTTTGAATGCAGGGATTGCTGCTAAAGCTCCATTAACCTGGTTAAAAACCAATTAGGTTTGTGTGTGTGTGTGTTTGCTGAGGGTGCTTGTTGCAGCACTGTCATTCATGAGCCGGACTCCTGTCTTTGGGGGGAGCAGGGGCGGTGGTGACCACCGCCATCTTTTGTGTTTTGACTCGTTTGTGTCACACTTCGCAACAAGATGCATCTTGTCATGTAAATAGAGGGTATTTAACAGTTCTCAGGCAATTAAACAGATAATGGTGTTTTGTTAGCCTGGGGAATGCAAAGGGGGATCTTTTTGTGATATGTAATGACTCTGAGGGGGATCTGTTTGAGAATCTGTTTTAAGAGCAAAAGGGTACTTGAGGTACAATCCACAAAACTTATGTATTGGACCAGGTGGAAATCTGTCTGCCAGTTTAATCTAGTAATTGCAATACAAATCTGAGATTTTTCAGTAGGGTACAACAGGATTATAGGCGCACCAGGGTAAAGGGCGCATTTGATTTGATTTTCCTCCAAACCGAGGAATTTTTTCCTCTTGATTTTGATTTTCCTCTGGCACACGATCTTGCCGTAACATTTTCCAAAATATCGACTTTTCAAGATGCACGTGGAAATTTGTCTGATACTTGACCTACTCTCAGGCAGCAGCAATGTTGATTTTGTGCTAATTTAATCTAATATTTCATGTTTTTAAAAATGTTGTAGATTTAAGTAGCAAATGAGAATCGCTAAAATTATGGAATATATTTTTTATACAAAAGGTCTTATTAATGATTTTCGGTAATTAGGTAATTAAAGCAACAGTTAAATAAAATGTCCAATTTGTAAAAAAATATAAAATGCTTTTGGGGTGAAAGGCACAATAATTAACATAATAAACAGTTGACTAGCTTTTCCAACATAGTTAGATTCAGATGGTAAATATCATATATTATGTTGGGTGTCCACCTTAGAGTAATCATCATATTTATAAGAACCATCAATTTTAAAAATTTGATATTAATCATATCATACAGTACATTATTTATTGTTACTACTGTAAATCTATGTTAAATTACTATGGGATTACATGCAAGCTTTCAGAATATTTACTCTTTTTAAAATAATGTTTGTTTTTAAAATATATTTTTATATTAGTACATTTATTTAACAAAAATGCATTTATTTATTTATCAAAACAAACAGATAATAGTACAAACTTTGCTACAGTGATTGTTTTGAACAAGCATTAACTTGAACATTATTAAAAACATAGCTAAAGTATTTGTATAAATAATGTGTGCCTTTTGCCCGTGCTGGTGAGCCAAAAATTAAAAAAAATAATAATTCAATGAAATAATTTTCATGCTTTATTTTCATACAAAATCTGTTGCTCCATCAATGTTCAATACGAACATGTTTCTCTTTCTACACTAATATGGGAGAAGTGAAAAGCAATTTTTTTCTTAAGGTGTGCCTTTATCCCCATTGTACTTAAATTGTATTTGTAAAAACAGAACAAAACAGATTAGTGAGAAATGGACATAGCGATTGAGACTCTGCTCAGTTAAAATGCATTTTGAGGACAGAAAAGCAGTCAGATAGAAAGGGTTATCATTTGTTAGTGGTGACCAGAACGCGAATGGGCTGGAGACATTATCATGCGGTATAGGGTCAAGCTTTCAGCCTAATCTACTGATGTGAATATAAATAATGCATAGAGTGAGCTCAACAGAAAATCACAGCTGGTCTTGGCTTCATTGTCTATTGTGGGTCACACGTTCGGGCGAGCCAAAAGAACATATTGAACGGGAAAGTCTCAAAGTCAAAACACAAAGCAGCACACCACAAATGACACTTTTGGACAAGGCCATTTAACGCAAACCACAAGTGATATAATTTCATTATGGTGAAAGTCATTTGCCTAGATCATGTTCATTGCTGGGGATGAGCTGGCCAGATGTCTTCTGTTCGTTTAATGCTTCTCTTTTTAAATTAAATTAATATTTCACTATAAATCACTATTTTAGACCAATCAAATGCTCTTCAGATAATTTCTTAATTATTTTGAAAGACAGGAGTATCTAATTGTCTCTATATTATTTCTTTTAGAGAGATAATGCCAATTTCTAGTATCTTTTCCTAATAAGGAATTTGCACTGTAAAAACAAGCACCAGTTTCGATGGATTTGACTTTAGTATAATTTTTATACATCAGCTCCAATGTTGAAAATTGCATTAAAAGTTGTATAAATAATATATATATAAAAAAGAAACCAAAGAGTGAACATGATTTTCACATTCAAAAGCTCTATAATTAAAGCACAGAAATCCTTAAATGCAAAAAACAGTAAATAATTTACTAATTACATGTTAATGTTTGTGTATTTAATTTGGACAAGGCCTGTATCTGTATGGCAGTAGCCAGTGAATGGAATCAGACAGTAGGTAATTTCCAGATTGAACTCGGATCTTAAGCTTCCATTTTCTGTGACCTCACCGCCAGCTACTGACATGGCGCGTGTGGTACACTGCGCGGGGCTCCGTCCAATCAAATTTCTCCAAAATAAAATCCCCATTTCACCCTTCAATACCCAGTTTGGCGCATTCTCAATCTTTCACCCAAACTTACTTGAGCATGCAAAGAAAAAGAAAAAAGAAAATGTCCACATTGTTTGAAAAGATAAAACATTTTTATTTTTATTTTTATGAAACATAAGTCATGTACTTATATGGTATATGGAATATGGGATGTTTTAGAAAAAAGTAACAGGAAGGTTTTTTGTTTTTTCCAATCGAAATGCTTTTTTTGTTTTACATTACACAGTTTTAAAATACTTAGGCCCCTATTTCAATATTTCTTTCTAAACATTTTAATCAGTCTTGCAAAAGGGATATTTTTTAAGTTAAAAATATATATTTTTTCATTTGTTTGTTTTAACTTTTTTTGTAAGCTATTTTTAAACAATACTGTACACATAAAGTCGACCTCAATCGAAAATATACAGTAAGTAAATAATATTTGAATGTAATTTAAATACAATCTTATAATATTGTCTCATACAGTCATATTGTATTATAAAAATATACAATATTTTGACTTGTCAGTGTCAGTTTTGATGCCTGCAATATTTTTTTCCAGACTATGTCATCATATTACATGTGTGTTGTCATATTCTTAGAACATTATTTTATTGTGCTATTTAGTGTGCTTTTGGTATTTATATTATCATTGATGTTGATGTTAATGATGACTTATCACATTCCTTATATATTTTCTATATATAGTGAAATATATAATTTCAACACAAAAAATAAAGAATAATTTGGTTACACTTTATTTTAAGGTGTCCCTGCTACAGTTACATTTCAGCACTGAGTAATATTAATTAATTACATGCACTTATAGGGTTAGGGTTGATTTAGGATTAGTTGCATGTAATTAAGCATATTTTATAGTATTACTATAGTAATTACATGTAACAAATGTAACAAAGACTGTAAAATAAAGCGTTACCATTTTACTAAAATGATTTGAAGAATATTTTTCTGCCTCCAAACAGAAACATTTCTTCTAGCAACAGAAAACATTTCATTTGATTGTATGCTTAGTATTTAAGAAGTCTAGTATTTCTATATAGCATTAGTCTAATTTATATTCATTGATGTTCATATGTGGGAAATTGAGCACTTAAGAAATCTCATCACAATATGTACATAGTGAAAGCCCAGTAATCCCACAATAATTGCAACACGTCATACGATGAGAGATACAGATAAATTCAAAGACTCACAGCTTTAATGCAGCATATTCAACATAAATGTTTCAGGTAGATATAGTGTACATTTATGAAACAGCAGGAAAAGATCAAGTTTTTGTTTCTATTTAATCTTTTACATCGGCTGATTATACCAAGTCTAATATACGAAAACATAATTATACTCACCTCATGAGACATCAGTTTTTAAATTGCTATTTGTTTGGTTTTTGTTTTTTTTTAAAAGAGGAAACTGTCATCCATACATCTTGGAAGATGGAATGGAAACAAAAGCAGTGCATTTGCCAGTATTTTTTGTCTAAATAGTTTTAAAAGTCCCTCTGTGGTTAGTGGTCATCCCAGTTGAAATTGAAAAAGCAAACAGTTGTAGCAGCATGCAAAATCCTCGGGTAACACAAAGCTGAAATCACTTCAGGATCAATAACAGATTGAAAAAAAAAATTGACATTGATCAGAAGCATCACAACATGCTTATCCAAATGTCCCAGATTATCAAAAGAGAAGTGTAGAAGAGGAAGGAAAAGCAGAAAGAGAGAAAATGCAGAAAGAGGAAAAAGAGAAACGGAGAAAGAAAACAGAGAGAGAGAGAGAGAGAGAGAGAGAGAGAGACAGAGAGAGAGAGAGAGGGGAGGGTTCGAGAGCGGCTAAAGTAAGAGAGAGAAAAATGAGAGAGTTGGCCCACAACGCAAGCTTGATTAGAAAAAATGCTTACTAAGCTATCCGTTTCACACATGCACAGACTGAGGGTTCGATATTCAGCCGATCGATGAGCGAAAAGGCACAAAGGCAAAATCGGACGGAGCTCCTTTTCAAATTCACATCTCCGATGTCCCCCCCTGCAGTCTGCGGTGGTGCGACGCACGGGGAGCAAGGGTTACCTCAAGGCTGTTCCGTGGACCATGCAAACAAGTCTAGACCAGTGACCTGCTCAATTGCTCCCTTTGAGGGCCAGGCAAGTTCGGTCAGGAAGAAGAAAGCGAGGCGTGCCCTCTTTTCAAAGAGGGAGCAAGGAGGTAAGGAGGGCAAAGAGAGTAGGCATCTGCTTCCATGGTTACTAGCCAAGTATGAGGATCCTGCTATTCAAAAGGCTCCGTTCTCATGCTCTCAGCCACCCAGTGTCACACGTTTAGAGGAAAGGCGGCACAGGAGGAGACCCGTGGCACCAGGCTCGCTTCTTTTAACGCTCTAATGATATGTGCATGGGCTGCTCACCAGAAAAAAAAAAGGAGAAATGGAGGATAGAAGGGCGACTGTCACATGACCGCGTAACATAGCTCTATGATTTAATATGTTGTCTTTTTTTTTTTTTTTCAAAGGAAAGCATTACTTTTTGGCTATTGCTTTGACAGGTCCGGTTTCAGTAAAAATTACCCAAACAAAAACCTTTAAGAGCGTGAAGGTCAAATGCTGTTGAATACGTTGCAGATATTGTGTTTTGTTAAAAAAAAAAAAATCATCTTAATCGCATTCTTGACAATTTTGGTTAGAGCTTTTGGCTTTTTTTGTCGTTGATAATACTCCTTAAATTTCTCATATTGGATGTATTATGTCGTCTTTTAATACAAGTAATATTATAAGAGATTGATGATTGATGGTGAATCTTTCTAAAGAAGTATACTGTAGATTCTATGAAAAAAAAAACAAGCTTACCTCTATGAATTTCACTTTTCTTGGACTGTCAGAACACCACTGGCTTCTTTCAAATGAGGGAGACAGACCTAAAGAAAGAAAGAGAAATCGTTAGGTATTCCATTGTTTATAGTAGTACAATTGATGCATCTTAAATTTGGAATCAGACTATTTTTATTTCTGGCTAAATGTTGTGGTGAAATCTGTTTTGGAATGCTGGACTTGTCCCAGCAGCTGACACTTGCTCCACCAGACGCTCTCTAAAAAATAGACAGATGGCTGTGACAGAGGAAAGGGGCAGAGCAAAGAGAGATTTACTGAGGGATCGTGGGAAAGTCTTGAGCTCAGTTCACCTGCTTAGAGGGAGCCAAGAGCGAGAATATATTTTGGAACCAGTGACCCGTGATTAAAGGGAAGAATGAATTTATCTTATAATCGCATGCACGGAACTTATTTGAAAATCTGTGATTTCATGATTTATGATGGAGAACTAAAATTGAATTTCTTGCAGATTTAAATCAGAAAAAAAAATAGTTTACAAATAATGAATGGGGAAATATGAGAAACAAATTCTGATCCTATGCTTCTAAACGAGTATAGGGTTCGGTTAGGAGCTTGCAATGATGGTTTTCTTTCATTTGTGGCTCAAGCATTATTACGATTTTGAGCAAGTTTACTTTATTAACTCATTCCATCTAGACAGGCAGCTTTTAATAAATGTAATAAACCAATTGACTAAAACACAAGCTCAAGTTACAAGAAAATGTTCATTTTCATGAAAAATGTCATGCCATTTAACATTATTTCATTGCGCTTGGGATCAAACAAATTAGTTCCCTAACTTTAAACAGGAAATAGGGGGTATCAATCGCTCCAGGCACTTGCCCTACCAATGTGGAGAAAGCGAGAAGACTTTGGGGGAAGTTAGGATGTGCTACTGGTGTCTTATCCTCTTCACGTCTATTGTTCTCAACAATGGCCAATCACAATAACCCCTGGGGTGGATGGCACTCCACTGAATAGCCACTTTGGTGGGATTTAACGGGTTAACCCTACACAAAAGGGGTTGTGGCCATGTAACACAGCAGGGGAAGAATGTTGGAAACACCAGGAATCTACATGCTTCACTTACTTAACTGTTGGCTTTAATTTAACTCTGGCTTTTGTACATTTTCCATACTTTTTTCTCCCGCATTATGCCGATGCTGCAAGTTTGGTTTTGCGAGTGATGCAAACCCCCCCTCAGATTTAGTTATGCAAAAAAAAAAAAAAAACCTGGTGTTCAGCACCTCGAGTAGTGTACTTGACCTGGAAAATGATTTAGACAAGGTCTGCTTTTCTGCTGCACTTTGAATAGGTTTCGGCAAATATTTATTACTGTAGTCAAGCTCTTTGTTCTACTCGCTCTGATTTCGAGTTTCTTTGGTTTGCTTTCCATAAACTGGATCATAACCATTTATGCCCTGTCTCCCTGGAGTGATTTCAGTTTTTGGAGTCTGCTCCGAGGGGAATGAAGCCAAAGTCTGACCTAGGATTGGTTTCATTTTGAGAGGGTTAGTTGGCTACGGAAATTAGTTTGTTAGAAACTCATGTATTCACACTTTTCTGTGCACCATTAATAAGGAGCTTAAAACATGATGAAACTCATGAACCATAATTATTAAACTACAAAGCAAATATCCATTTATTTTCTGCACCAAATGAAATACTATTTAAATCCATTTTTTTCCCATATAATTCATGATCCCTGTGCACTGTATTTTCAGAATTTTCTTTGTTTGTAACAGGCATTGATCACATTGTATCATATGAAAAACTGTACTCCCTTCTCAAAGTGTTACCGTAATTATGAATATTATAGTAGCACAGAGTGGTATCACACAAATCGAATTGTGCAGCAGTGAAATCTGAGTCTCGGTTTCATTCGCCTCCTTGTTTTGATTCCACCCCTGAGGAAGCGTTTCCCTCGTTTGACCCCAGCTTTTATTATGATGCATTTCTACTCTGTTTCCATTAGCCGGATTGTTGAGGAAAACCACTTTGCATTGCTTTGACTCCCACAGAGACTGTGGTGTGCACAGATTCTTACATGCTAAGCAATAAAACTGAGTTTTAACTAAGCCATCAAACCTTATATTTACCTATAAATAAGAATACATGTAGTTTATTCAAAAAGTGAGTAGATATACACTCACCTAAAGGATTATTAGGAACACCATACTAATACTGTTTGACCCCCTTTCACCTTTAGAACTGCCTTAATTCTACGTGGCATTGATTCAACAAGGTGCTGAAAGCATTCTTTAAATGTTGGCCCATATTAATAGGATAGCATCTTGCAGTTGATGGAGATTTGTGGGATGCATATTCAGGGCACAAAACTCCCGTTCCACCACATCCCAAAGCCTTGATGATGCTAGAGGTCAGAGGAGAATGGGCCGACTGATTCAAGCTTATGGAAGAGCAACTTTGACTGAAATAAACACAGTTACAACCGAGGTATGCAGGAAAGAATTTGTGAATCTATAACACACACAACCTTGAGGCGGATGGGCTACAACAGCAGAAGACCCCACCGGGTACCACTCATCTCGACAACAAATAGGAAAAAGAGGCTACAATTTGTAAGACCTCACCAAAATTGGACAGTTGAAGACTGGAAAAATGTTGCCTGGTCTGATGAGTCTCGATTTCTGTTGAGACATTCAGATGGTAGAGTCAGAATTTGGCGTAAACAGAATGAGAACGTGGATCCATCATGCCTTGTTACCACTGTGCAGGCTGGTGGTGGTGGTGTTGTAATGGTGTGGGGGATGTTTTCTTGGCACACTTTAGGCCCCTTAGTGCCAATTGGGCATTGTTTAAATGCCACGGCCTAGCATTGTTTCGGACCATGTCCATCCCTTTATGGCCACCATGTACCCATCCTCTGATTCCAGCAGGATAATGCACCATATCACAAACCTTGAATCATTTCAAATTGGTTTCTTGAACATGACAACGAGTTCACTGTACTAAAATGGCCACAGTCACCAGATCTCAACCCAATAGAGCATCTTTGGGATGTGGTGGAACAGGAGCTTCACGCCCTGGATGTGCATCCCACAAATCTCCATCAATTTCAAGATGCTATCCTATCAATATTAGCCAACATTTCTATAAAATGCTTTCAGCACCTTGTTGTAACAATGCCACATAGAAAGGCAACAGCTTCAAAGATACAATATTCACCACAAAACTGTTTAGGATAGTAGTGTCACAAAGACTAGAGTTCTTTTAAATTGAACAATTAGTTTAGGATATTGAATATTAAGTAAAAAGATGACATTTGTCACTATTTTTTTCTGAAGTGCACAGGTTTAATTCTGTATTAACTGTTAACACAATAGCAGCTGTTGTACTGTAGATCTAGTCAATGCATGGAAGCTCAGGACTTATTTTTCATTCATTTTTAAAAACACATTCTCATGACCTTTTGAATGGCATTTAATTTCCACGCTTTACTAATTCCACAAGTCATGTCTCCCTCCTTGTGGTGCTGTGGTAAATGCTTTCAGAGATCTGAGAATTAAGGTACAGTGTCTATGTTTGTGGTCCCAAGACAAGCATAGTCCAAAATATGAACCTGAGCTTCCTGGATGCATTTACAGTTTGCATTGACCTCCTGTACTCAATAAGATTTCAGTGGTTTTGAAAATGGGTTGCACCATTTTATTTCTATCCTCATTTTTGCTCGCCAGTGCTGTTACGATGGTGCCACCAGCACGTTTAGTAATGTGGTAGTTATTCTTTATTGCAGTCTCACTCTAGGTGCTCTTTAGTAAAAACAGCCTGCGGTTATAAGAGCAGTGCTGAATGAATCTTATTACATTGGTATTTTCATCTACAGTGATCTTAAAAGGATCTAGAGGATATGGGGTAAATCCATTCATGAGTCATTTGACTACAAACTTCATAAGCTCACAGGTTGCATTACTGCGTGCATATTGCATTTTTCAACATATGGTATGATTGGTTATATGCTTCTTTGGAGGTGTTTCAATGTAAATCACAGTTTGGCTGTTGACATGTTATTCATTCAGCATGTTCACTCTTAAAAATAAAAATGTTCTTTTTTTGGCATCTACGGTTCTATGAAAAACCTTTAACATGCATGGAACCTTTCCACTGCACAAAAGACTCTTTTTAAATTGAATTCTTCCATCACATTAAGAAGAAAATGGTTCTTTTATGATCACTTTAAGAATATGTGAGGAACCCAAAATTGGAAATCCATCACAGCGAAAAACTCCCTTTCTGGAACCTTTATTTCTAACAGTGTTGTTGGGTCTTTGAAGTTTAGTCTAATTTTAATTTTAAGGACATTTTTGTTACTTTGGGACTGTTGAGACAGTCATAAAATATGATTCATCAACCAAAACTAGTTGAGAATCACTTATTTTATTCAAAATTATTATTATTCTTAAAAATGATATAACTATGTGAATAGAACAGCTTTTAATGTTGTATTACAAATAAGCTTGTTTGATCAGCTTTGGCTTGTTACTGCATATTGTTTGACCAGTATATTATTTGATACTGAGTCATCAGTACTGGATCATGTGACCAAGTGTGTCCAGCTCCCAGAATAAGGATTGCATATAATTATATAAAATGGAGGGAATTTTTATTTTTACATGCCAACTGTTGAAACTGTGTTGTTGTAAGCATTATTCTGGCATAAGCTTATTCAGACAGATGACATTTCCAGACTTTTGCAACTTCAACCCATTTTGAAATATTTAGAAACTAAATACTGCTTACTCTGTGATCAACGGAAAGACCATGAGAGAGAGAGAGAGAGCTAGCTAGCTCAATTTTAGTGCAGACTGCAGTCGGTATCATATTAGTTCATTTGCATTTTCCCATCCTCGTTGTACTGGGATTTTGCCTTTAATGGATAATATACACACGCCTATGATAAGCAATTAACACTAAGCATAGTTGATCCACAGACAAGGATAGTAATTAAAAAGTAAGTAATTAAACTGAAATGCCATTTGATTTTTTGAAGGGAATTCTAATAAATGGTTAAACAATCTTTTGCTTT